CCCCAAAACCCCAAAACCCCAAAACCCCTTATAATTATATTTATTAACTCAAATATTCAAACTGAGAATGTCAGGTGCACATCAAGCTTCTTTTCGCGGCCAGGCTAAGACTAGGAACTGAATAGTAAAGAACAATACTTCACTTTCAAAACTGGAGAAGCCAGTTAATTCAGAATTCAATGATGCAGTCATTTAAGTAAGCGAAAACTGAAATAAGCGAATTAAAAATTTGAGAAATTCAACTAAACTATAGAAGAAAGAACACTACACTGAAGCATCATGAGATTGCAGATTGCCAGTCAAAAGTGTCTGTGTTGTTTTCAGCTGTTAGGAACAAGTGCAGGCCTCTATTAGCATCATCTACATTCGAAGGAGACGGGGATGGAGTATTTTCGCATCCTGAAATTCCCAAATGTGAGGTTATATTGCAAAGAAAACAAGGCGAGGAGCACAACTCACCTTCTATTTTTGAACAAAATGGAATGGTAGCTAATCCAACAAACAATCCTTATGTGCATAATTCGACTGCTAAAAGCCATAAATCGAAAAGATGTAGGTTCCAGAAGAGTAAGTCAAATTATTCACTATCATAGGGTTTACTCGGAAGCCAATTAATGAGTATAAAGGGAGTAAGATTAAAACAACAAAGTCTTTCCAGCTTAGAATGGAGAACAGGAGAACTCATGGAAGTATCATTCATAATAATATCCGCCCTAAGTCAGCTAGTCTCATGTCAAGAATCAAGAGAAAGAGTTATAATAAGATTGTAGAAAAATAGGACCTCAAGCAAAGCTAGGAAGTACAAAAAATTGATAGTCCAGAATTCAAAGAAAATGAGGTTTGCTTTGGATAACACCATTTAGGCTTCTGTCATCCGCTCATCCAAATAATCAGGCTAGTGGTAAGTTTGATCATGGGAATGGACAATTAAGTAGCATCTAGAAGCAAGAAGGTTAGATTTGGCCCGAGCTGAAAAACTAAATATGACTACAAATAAGGGTAACCCCTATACGATGACTCAAAACATCATAATTGATCACTAAAAGCTAAAACTGAGTATGTTAATGTCTATCCAAGAAGCAATTCAAGTTCTAAAAGAGGTAAACTATCTTATAAGCTCTAATAGCTTTGAATAAAAGTGATGTGATGAACCAAAGAATTTCAAGAAAAGGTAAGAGCTACTTTCAACTACTATTTCGACCTAAATCATAGAACTCCGTGATCTCAAGCACGCTCTGCCGCCTGAGAATCCTTCTTGACACCCGAAAGAGCAGTGTCAAATGCTATCAGGAAAGCAAGACTGCTTTATTAGGAAAAGCTCAGCCAATATTACTTAAAACTCAGGCTGATTTATTCAGGACAAACTCTCAAAATATTAGTAGCTTCTCAAGCGAGCATTTGTCTCCAAAGAAGAAAGAAGGTAATCTTACTATAATTCTGTAGATATTCCAATGAGAATTATCAATCAGAATATGGATAGCTCTAAAGAAGATATCCAACAAAAGAAGATCGACCTTGAGACTGAGTTCTTGAGTAGCAAGAATTCTAAAGCAGTATCTCCTCTCCATCATGTTGTTGAGTCGGATATTAATAAGGATATCCCTACAGAATTGAGAGCTGTAATGCAGTATCAGAAGAGGAAAAGAGAGAACCACAGTCAAGGCATCTCTAGAAGTACAGCCTTCCTAATGTTTCTTTAGAGAACTACTGGCAAGAAACCTCCCTGAGCTATCAGCCTGTAAAACGTATGTTCTTGATATAAGTCTTATAGAAGAATTTGAAGAAAGCGGGTTTCAAGTCAAGACCAAAAACTTCAAATTCAAGAGAGTTAAAAAGAAAACTGACAAAATTTTCGTCATGAAAGGAGAAATAGAAAAGTCACAATACAAACCGATCTTCATTGCTGGAGGAAAAAGTGAAATTATTAATCAAAAGCAAAAGGCGCCGGACCGACATAATTTGGTGTATAAACGCCTCCAAGAAAGTTATAGCCACGGGATCACACCAGGTTCTTGTTTTATGGGGAAACAAGAGGAAAGTAGCTTGATCTTGCCCATTCAGAACTCAGTTGAGTTTAAAAGAAATGCTTCTAATGTTGCTATCGGAGTGAGAAAAATTTCTAGCAGCTCTACACAACACAGGAATAAGATTAAATCTGCCGGTAGAGTCAAGAGGCTACCAGTGGCAGGGACTGAGTTGATTCAAGGGAAGAAATATGGTCTACATACTCCTCCTCAAAGAAATCTTGATGCTGTTAAAGTAAGTTTTTATCTATTCATTTGCTGTTACTACATATATGTATAAACATACTTTTAGGGAAACTATTCATCACCAACTCTGAAACCTCAAAAAGAGCCACTGCATTTGCTATCCAGCGGTACTCAGATGAATAACCTCTAGACTTGAAACTGCCACAATTTTTAGGAGTAGATGACTTAGAGAAGACTCAGAATCTTCTGAGTCAGAACTTGCCAACTGGTACTCTAAATCTCATAATCTGTAGACAATCAGATGAGCGATTTGAAGACTGGAGGAGCTGCTTTGAACTTATGCTCAGAAACTTCATACAATTTCTTAGGCCAGGACTCTAAGATTGACAAGGGAGGATCAATCGGATTCACAGCACTTGATCCTGAAGAGATGAAGGAATATAATTGCCCAGAAAATGACACTGGTAAGTATCCCTTTTATCTTTAGACGACCATTATAAGCTAGCTGATGTGTATAAAACCACAGCGGATAGTAAGACTCTTTTAGCCTAAGATTCAATATCTTATCTAAATTTGACAATTTTTCTTAGAAAACCCCAGAGAGAATTACACGAAATTCAAAAAGAAGGACCAAAGGTAGCCAAATCTCATATTTTAGACCTGGGAAAGCTCAAAGAATTTGTAAGAATAAAGGAATTCAGAAACTGAATAGCAGAGCTATGTATCTATCCCTATCGCCCAAGCATTCGAAGAGAAACGTGGAGAGGATCCAGCTAAACTCAGTGAAGAAGAGGGTCCAAGTACTTTATGTGCATAACTTTTCCTAGGACATGCAAGTTATTGGCTGCTCTCCAATTTCTGAAGGGATTTGTGACACTTCAAACCGTCCATTTAGCCCAAAAATGCCTGATCCAAAAGAATCTACCGAGACTAAGTTTTTATAAATAGATTTTTGGGTTCTGACTCAAATGAGAAGCAAAGGGATAATATTGAGAAATTACTTCCTTTGTCTGAAGAAATGAGAGAAAGCAAATTTATAGAAAAAGGCAGTGATATCCAGCCCTCCAAGGACATTGTCTCGATTAAAAACGAAGAACATGAGCTAAATGCTTCGAAGGGAGTTGGGATTAGGAAAGAGGAATATAAGGTTAGGGTAAAGTCTAAGTTTATCAAGAAAATGTCCCAGACTTTGTCTCCAAAGATTCGGAAGGGAAGGGCTACCCCAAATGCACACCTTGGAACCTATTTTAATAGTTTTAAGGTACTCGATTGTATCAAGTCTAGTTGAATGGAAAAATAGCGAGGGATTCTAAGATTATCAGGTCGATTCCTTCAGGTAATCCTTTGCTTAGGAACATGTAGACCGGAGAATTCAGAGCCCAATGATCACCTTTTATAAGCAACAGAGCAACTCAGAGACAGGGATGAAGTCTAGCAGCATTAAAAGCTTCAACCAGATGAACTTGGTCTCGAAGTATTCTAAGAAGGTAGTTCTTCAATGCAATTTCTAGGTGAGGTCCATTAGGAAGCAAGAAAATGAAAACACTAAGGAAATATCTCAGACAATACCTGAAAAGAAAATGGTTATTTCCAAAGTTGCATGTATATCTTCATTACTTCAAATTTAACTGTTTATAGCAAGAGAATCGTTCAGGAGGAATAATCTCAAAGCTTTGAGGAAAGAACGGACTGGAAACACCAAGGAACATTTCTCTAACACAATTGGTATGATATATTTGCTCATTCTCTAGTCCACGACGGGAGTAGTCTTTTGTCGGGGACAAGTGTAAATGATCCTTCGATAATTAAATAATCAAGTCGGATTAATACAAAAGATTTTACATCCCAGTTTTCAATCAAACAAATATAGCAAGATCAGGATTAGTCATAATATTAAAGGTACAAGCAGAATTTGATCTCTAAAATTCCTTATTGGAGGGCTTAGAGCAAGCTAAGTGTTTTATTCCTAGTGTGTAATATCTACTAGATTAATGTTGTTAAATCTCAACAAATTTTGAATATCATTAAAATACCAAATCAGGGAGATTTACTAATGTGGAAATTACACTCAAACATTTAGTAATTCCTAAAGAATTTTAGCTCAATTTAGTTCTACATGATTTAACCCAAGAAAGCACGATTAACGTTCTTGAAATCTTTGCTTGAAACCAGTACAGAAATATGATTATTTTTGGGAACTCCTTTACAAAATTGTGATCTAAAATCATTATATCTCATATCAAATATTTTGTTTTAGAAGTCTGTGATTACCAAGCCAGTTCCAGAAATTTTAAGAAAGTTGATATGCGCTCAACAGCGTGTATAAATCCTCCAAAGAACTACATTGAGTATAATAAGCAGCTAATCTCGAATATGGGGAAGAAGAAGGACCAAGCGGTTATTGCAAAATCGCAACAAGGTATGTCTTTGATTTCTATAGTAAAAATCTTCTACTTTGTTGTTCTTGGGTTAAAATATCATCCTACGGAATATTTATATCAAGGTAGGAAGTTTAAAGCTTTTAGGTTAGAGTTTTAGCCTGGGAAAGTTCAATATGTCGTAAATGTAAAAGCCTTTTAGAGTTCGGCTAGAAAAATTTGGAATTTATTGCTGCTCATTCAGGTACTAAAGTGTCATTCTATGCTATTTAACTGGGAGATCCTCTTTTATGATAACTTGAGTATTTCTGTATTAGAAATTTGCTCAGAATGGTTTAGAAATGAGTCAGACTCAGAAAATTGGTGTCGTTCAGTTCTGTGTGAAGGAAGACATTGAACGGTTAGAATGAGAACCTGGCCAAAAGATGGTACACAAAGGAGAAAAGATCATTTGGGGTAGGCTTGAGGTAAATATATTTCCCTTCGTCTTTAAAATCTACAAAATTCTCCCAGACCCATTTTTCATTACTAACTGCCTAAATTTAGAAGCATAAGGTTGCTCTTAACACAGCTACTAATTTGTTGCAAGAAATTAAGAATTCTCGGCCAAAGAAGACAAGCTTAGCACAAGGATTAGCTAAGAAGTAATTGAAAATTTATAGTTTTGAAAGGTTAAAAGGGGTTTTGGGGTTTTGGGGTTTTGGGG